TCACATTAGCTACTTGATGCAATTGAGAAAAAAAAAGAGATTGTGGGTTTTATATGCTTGAAAATGTTTTATATGTTTGATTTCATTTTTAAATTCTCATTTGAATATGCTTTACATATTATATTTATGTATTTTAATTTTAGATAATAGGTTTTTTAAAACTTAAGTTTATATTTTTATTAATATTATGTTTTATAATTTTTTGCATTTTTTTTTATTTTTTTGCATTTTTTTTAATTTTTAGCTTCTTTTTAAATTGCACGCCTCGCCTTGCGCTTTTAAAACATTGGGTGCAAATGCTACTTTTACAGCCTTGATCCCTAAGATGGTGCTTGCAGTTCAGCCCAAGGACTTTAGAGCTACCAGTTTGATTGGGAGTTTGTATAAGATCATCTCTAAAGTTCTTGCCCTAAGACTCAAGAAAGTCCTCCCTTCCTTAATCTTACCAAACCAAGGAGCCTTTGTGAAGGGGAGACAAATTATTGATCATATCTTAATAGCCAATGAATGTGTGGATTACAAAAAAAAAAGGGGGGGGGGAAGGGTCGGATCTGTAAACAAGACCTCGAAAAGGCTTACAATTTGGTATATTGGGAATTCTTGCTAAAGTGTTGAGGAATAGAGGCTTTAAGGGAGAGGTGGTGTAATCGGATGAAGGGTTGCATTACCTCTTGTCACTTTTTCAATCATAGTGAATGGAGTAGCTAGGGACTTCTTTCCTGCAAAGAGGGGCCTTAGACATAGAGACCCTTTGTCACCTTTCCTCTTCACCTTAATAGGGGATGTCCTGAGTGTTTTGATTTCCGGGCTGATACAAGGAACCTAATCAAAGGTTTGAGAGTTGGGAGGCAACAAGTGGTTGTCACTCACCTACAATTTGCAGATGATATCATTCTCTTTTGTGAAGGGGAACATGAGGAGATGGATAATTTGAGATTGGTGGTGACACACTTTGAGAAAGTCTCCAATCTGAAAGTCAATTGGAATAAGAGTTGTGTAGCGGGGGTGAATAAACAGGAAGATAAGGTGCATTTGGTGGCTAGGTCTTTAGGCTACGAGGTAAGTGGTTGGCCTTTGGTTTATTTAGGTCTGCCCCTSGGGGGAAACCCTAGAATAGAAAGCTTTTGGTACCCAGTTTTGGAAAGATTCACTAAGAAGCTAGAATGGTGGAAGAGAAATTATATCTCACTAGGGGGTAGAATCACTTTAATCAAGTCCACTTTGGCCAACCTTCCAGTGTATTTTTTGTCTACCTTTAAGCTACCTATCAAGGTTGCCAATAAGTTAGAGAAGCTCATGAGAGATATTTTGTGGGAACCAGATGACTCAAAAAAGGACCATCTAGTGAAGTGGGAAGTAGTTTCTAGGAAAAAGGAAGTCGGGGGTCTAGGCATTGGCAATATCATATTAAGGAATGTAGCATTGTTAGGAAAGTGGTTGTCGAGGTTTCCTTCAGAGCAGGATAGTTTATCGCACTTGGTGGTGGAAAGTATTCATGGGATGACAGCTAATGGATGGGATGTTGGCGTCAACCCTAGGGCTTCTCATTTCTCCCCTTGGAAAACCATTGCTGGAGTCTTGCCTTCCTTCTAGCCTTTCATCAGACCTGATGTGTACTCAGGTAATAAAATTCTGTTTTGGGAGGATCTTTGGCTTGGGAAAAAACCCCCCTTAAGGATAGATTCCGGTAATGTATTCTCTTCCCCTAAATAAATTCAAAACCATCTCCTCACTCTATGTGTTTGAGGGGACCTGGGATTTGGGTTTGAGAAGAGGGTTGAGGGATTCAAAGTTGGCTTTTGCATATGAGTTGTTCACTGTGTTGACTTCACTTTTCCTAGATCTTTCTTGCCCAAACAGTAGAAGTGTGGCCTTCTCCTGTGTTGTGCCTGTCTCTTTTCCAGCTAAAGAAGTGTGGTTTTCTTGCAAATGAGTTCATTGTGTTGACTTCACTCATCTTTCTTGCAGATGAGTTCCTCTTTTTTCAATGCCTTAGTTCAACCTTCTGTTGTGTCTGTCTCTTTTCCTGCTAAAGTGTGGTTTTCTCCTGTGCCGCCAAAGATTAGGGTTTTTTGCTGGGAAGTGGCTCTCCAAAATATCAACACTATGAATATACTTCAAAGAAAATGGCCGGATTGGTGCCTTTCCCATGTTTGTTGCCTTTGCTTAAGAAATGATGAGACGGCGACTCATCTTTTGATTTCTTGTCCTTTTGCTTCTTATTTGTGGGATTGGTTATCTCCTCTTTTTCGTTGCAGTTGGAATCCCCCCTCAAGTGTGTTGAACCTTTTTTACTCTACCTTCTTCCGACAACCAAAGAAAAGAGGCAGGGTAATGTGGAGAATAACAAGAGCATCCATCCTTTGGTCAATTTGGGAAGAGAGAAACAATAGGATCTTCCAAGGGCAAGAAAAATCCAAGGAAGCACTTCTTGAGGTTATCACCATCAAGGTTATGCATTGGTTGAAAGTGCAGCACCTCTTCAAGGACTTCTCCTCAACAATGTTTTAAAACGCAGAGGCGTGACGCGAGGCGTTCCACTACCTAGAGGTGTGAGGCGTAGTTCAAAACGCAAGAGGTGTAAGCCTCCTTAAGAGGAGGGGCTTAGGAGGAGGATCTCACTTTTTCTTTATTTTTAATAAAAATCTTTTATATTAAGAAGAATAAAGACGCATAACATTAATTGAAAGGGGGGGCAGCTACATCGAAAAGGGGGTGGAGGGGTCTGGGGGGTGAAGCCCCCCAGCCGAAGGGGCAGGGGGCAAACCACTTTCTTTCCCCTTATCTTTTCTTCCCTTACCTTTTCTTTTCTTTCCTTTTCTTTTCTTTTCTCTTTTTTCTTCTCTTTCTTTTTCTTTCCCTTCCCTTTCTTTTCCTTTCCTTTCCTTTCCTTTCCTTTTTTTTCTTTTTTTTCTTTCTTTTTATATAAGATGTGCATGAGGCGCATGAGGTGTACGCCTCATAGGTGTCAACGCCTCTGGCATATGCCTCAAGGTGTTTTGGGAGCGCCTTGCCTGGAGGCGTGCCTCTAGGCGTACGCCTCCCACGCCTTTTTAAGACACTGCTCCTCAACTAATTTAATTAGGAATTTGCATGCTATAATTGTATCCTCACCTTCCTCCCCTGCAATTCAAGAAAGTTGGTTACCACCACCTCAATTCAAGGTGAAGTTAAACTTTGATGGAAGCTCCTTGGGTAATCCAGGCCAGTCGGGAGTTGGGGGTGTTTTCAGAAATGAGGAAGGAAAAGCCTTGGCCCTTTTACTCAGGCCCGATTGGGATAGAGGACTCCTTAAGGGCAGACCTCATGGCCTTGTTCCAAGGCCTGAGATTGGCGAAACAATGGGGAATGCAACACTTAGAAGTGGAAGGAGACTCCAAGCTGGTAATAGGGTGGATGCAATCTAGAAACTTGGGAGTATGGTCATTTAGACAGCCTCTAAGAGAGATTATTAGCTTAGCAAGGGAGATTGGGATGCATTTTAAATAGGTAAGAAAGTCAGCAAATGGAATGGCTGGCACTTTAGCTAAGCAAGGAGCTACTAGGGAGGCTTTGTTTTGGGCTTGTTTGTAAGGTTCTTGTTCTGATGTTCCACCCATCCTGTGGGTGGTAAATTGTAATTGTAATTTTATTTAAATTCATTAATGAAAATTATCGTTTCCTATGAAAAAAAGGTAGATACATCCTAAACCATGTATAAGCTTGCCAACTAGTTTACATAAGATCCAGTCAGTTATTGATTTGTCCTTTTGACATCGTTTGCTTCAACACTCTTTGCACTTGCCAAATTAAGTGCTAAACAAAACAACAATAACTGGCATTTCATAGATTCTCCCCATCATAAATAACAGAAATAAAATGGATATAGACCTCTTCAAAAACAATAATATATCATCCTATCATTTAAGATAGCTAAGGGACACAAGCATGAAATGATATTACATACTGGTAGAATCAGATGTAGCTAATTCCCCCAAAACAGAAACTAATGGAAAAGAATGCTACTACACACTTGTCCACATCCAGATGAAGATAGGAACTAGAGATTATTCAAAGAATTCAACCACTCCAAACCTTACCCCTTACTCGATTTGTTTCTGCAGCAAGCTTCCCAGACAGCTCAAATGAAGGTTTTTGCTGCATTTCACAGGACAAGCTACTAAGGCAATATATGAGGAAATGTCACCTAAAAGTCTAGGTTAGCAAGAATAAAACCATGATACTGCTAAGACTAGATAGTAAAAGAAGATTAATTACTGCCTTTCATTTCACCTCCTTCAATTTTCATGGTAAAAATAACATACTAATACAGAAGCACACTAACTCAGGTGACCAATCAGAACCAAGTCCAATCAATACCTTCTGCTTGGTTTCTAGAGCCTCCTCAGCAGCCTTCATCTTAGCTATTGAATCATTCTCACTATCCCTGCTAAAATAGGAATCTACCTCAACAAAATATCACATCAAAAAGCTATCAAAAATGAAACATTTTCTCAGGAATACAACTGGCATAGAAAACCAACAGTAGACTATATTATCAAAGATGCAAATGTATGGATGCAAAATGACAGCATGGATATTGCAAAACAGCAATCAGATCTACTTCAGCTAGGTCTGCAAATAAAGCCCAACCAAACCCAAGTTCTTGCATGAAGTAGGTTTGGGTTTTCAGGCTCTGGGCTCAGCCTGGAGCCCTGGACCTAGGAACTTGAGCATGACGTGACCCCACCTCCAATACAAGTTGGGCTTGGGTTGAGGCCCCAGATAGCCCAAACCCAGACCAAGCTCTATAATATATGATCCCATGTATGCATATGTGCATATTATATTGTGTATTTTGTCTTTATACTATCATACACAGAATCTTTTGCATTTTGTGCATGCAGGCCAGGGGTTCACACCACATGCAACCATACTCACACCTACACCATACATGGTATGTATATGTCTAATGATATTTTTCTCTTTTCTTCTTTTATTTTATTTCTGAATTCAACTGTAAAGCCCAAATGAAATATAGAGAAGTCAAATATACCAATATTGTGTGGTACCCCTAAGTGACAAGTTTCATCCTTTCAACCCTTCATGCAACAAAAACCTTCAACTGACCCAAAGGTTTTCTTTACTTGTGCTCTATAAAGCAATGAAATCACTTAAAACTCAACTACTACTAAAAGGGGAATAAACTTATGCATTTTTGGAGTGTGTAAAAGAAAAGGAATACCTATAAATTTACAACAGTGTTAAGTATTATCAGATAAGATTTTAAGAAAATACTTAAATTCAAGTAGAAACTCACCTATACTGTTCATCTTCTCTTGAGTTTGTTACCTGAAACAATAAAATTGATCCACCAGTTTTATAATTTTAAAACATCAATCCACAAACCCCAGTTGCTAACAAATAAAGAAACAGTACCATATATAAAAGAATGCCCACAGTAAGAATGATCTCAATTTTAGATATAGTAGGAAAATGTATGACTAATATCAATAAAAAATGCAATCTCTGTATAGTAAAAAACTATTATCAAAATAAAAAAAAAATCAGGGAAACCAACAAAACCTACTCTCAAGATAATCAAAGCTAAATAAGGACAACCTCTTAATAAAAAAGTAAATAGTAACTTCCACTTTGTTACATAGATATATAGTTTTTTTATCAATAACAAAGAATTTTTAAAAGAAAAAAAAAAAAAAAAGAGGAAGACAAGCACAAACTCATAAATCCAAGTGGGCCAGTCAGTCCTATTGGCGGGCCAAACATTTTAATAAAGAAAGGGGCTTGCATTCTAGCTTAGTGAACAACAAGCCCCAAGTTAATTGGGCTTGTTTGTAATGCAATAAGCATTTAATGGGCCCGCAATAGAGCCCATTTAATGGGACAGCAGGCCCTAAAAGAATTAAATCTATAAAAATTAATTTTCTTGTGAGGTGCCCCACTTATTTATAAGGGGATGCCACTTGTCCTATTCTAACAAGAAGGCTTTTATTCCCTCCTCTAACCACTTTAAGTGGGAGGACACATGTCACCTTAGGGGAGAGAGTTATTTTCCCTCTTCCAACCACTTTAAGTGAGGGGCACATGTCACCCTAGGGGAGAGAGTTATTTTCCCACCTCCAACCACTTTAAGTGGGGGGACACTTGTCACTTCAGGAAGGAATAGTTTTCTTCTCCCTCCTTAACCCACTTTAAGTGGAGGGACACATGTCACCCTAGGGGAGAGAGTTATTTTCCCTCCTCTAACCACTTTAAGTGGGGGGACACTTGTCACCTTAGGAAGGAAGAGTTTTCTTTTCCCTCTTTAACCCATTTTAAGTGGGGCGACACTTGGCACCCTAAGAAGAGAGAGGTGGGGAGTTACTTAACCACCTCCCTCTTCTATATAAACCCCTCTCCTACAAGGAGAAGGGGTTAATGCCATTTTGTTGGCTAATACTAATTTATCTATAGGATTTCTAGCACTAAGAAACAAGTAGAAAGAGAAAAGAGAAGATTGGTGTGGAGAACATTAAAAAAAAAAAAAAGAGAAGAGGATGGTAGGGAATCTTGTTTTCTTCCTACACCCCTTTAATATGAGATGGAAGACCATATTCTTTCTATTCCTCTCACTCCTTTCTTTCTTTCCTTTTTCTTCTTTTCTTCCTTGTTTCATATTGAAATACATGTAAGGAGATAACCATCTATAGCCTTGTCTATGAAACTTGGCTAATTATGGTGCTGAACCTTTTTTACTCTAGCTTCTTCCGAAAACCAAGGAAAATAGGCAGGATAATGTGGAGAATAACAAGAGCAATCATCCCATGGTCAATTTGGGAAGAGAGAAACAATAAGATCTTCCTAGGGCAAGAAAAATCCAAGGAAACACTTGTTGAGGTTGTCACCATCAAGGTTATGCATTGGCTGAAAGTACATCATCACTTCAGGGACTTCTCCTCAGTTGACTTAATTAGAAATTGGAGTGCTATAGCTGTATCCTCACCTTCCTCCCCTGTGGTACAAGAAAGTTGGGTACCACCGCCTCAGTTCAGGGTGAAGCTAAACTTTGATGGAAGCTCCTTGGGTAATCCAGGTTAGTCGGGAGTTGGGGTGTGTTCAGAAATGAGGAAGAAAAAGTCTTGGCCCTTTACTCAGGCCCAATTGGGGTGGGAGATTCATTAAGGGCAAAAGTAATGGCCTTACTTCAAGGTTTGAGACTGGCGAAACAATGAGGAATGCAGCAATTAGAAGTAGAAGGAGACTCCAAGCTGGTAATAGAGTGGATGCAATCTGGAAACTTGGGAGTTTGGTCTCTTAGACAGCCTCTAAGAGAGATTATTAGCTTAGCAAGGGAGATTGGGGTGCATTTTAAATGGGTAAGAAGGTCAGCAAATGGAACGGTTGACACTTTAGCTAAGCAAGGAGTTACTAGGGAGGCTTTGTTTTGGGCTTGTTTGTAAGTTTTTGTTTTTTTCCATCCATTTTGTGGGTGGTAAGTCTGTAATTTTTTCAATTCTTTAATTAAAGTTACCGTTTCCTATCAAAAAAAAAAAAAAAAAGCTTCTACGTGAAGTTTCTTCAAATCCTCAAGGGGTCTCCACCCGCACTCTCCCTTTCCTCTATTCTTCACATTATTGCTGATATATTAAGCTATTTTATGAAAGGACCAAGAACTCAAAAATGAGATTGGCTAGAGGTGGCAAATAGCTCCTTCAAGAAGGAAAGGGTTTCTATAGTATGGATTCCGCCGCCAGAAGGTTGTGTAAAGCTGAATTTTGATGGAAGTAGTCAAGGCAATCTTGGCCTCAGGTATAGGAGGGGTTTAAGCCTGTACACGGGTTAGTTTGGTTCGGTATTACATGATTTAACCAACCAAACCCAAAGTATCGGATTGAATCTTATACAAAACCGAAACCAACCACTTAACCATCAAACCGATTGAAAAAATAATATTCACAAAATAGTCGGTTTAATCGGTTTGTATTAGACCGACCGAAATACATAACTATACATTATGGTGATGACTAGGTAAAAAGACTGATACAGACGAGGCCGAACGAATGTCAGTGACAAACTGACAATGTAAGACCTTAGACCTGGATTGCCACAAGACAGACCTATTGTGGTTTAGGGCTAGGACCCTAGGGTCTCTTTTATAGCCTTTTCCTCTTTCACTTTTGTAGGATATAAAAGTGGGAGGTGGTGGCTGAAAAAATAAAATTATTAAATAAAAAAAATAAACCTTATATCGAGGCTAGAGGCTAGGATTATATGAAATATATATGTAATCGATCGGTTTGGTTGTAGTTCAATTAACATCATAAAAACCAGCAACCGAACCAAAGAGTCAAGTTTTATAATTTATTAAACTGAAATCAACCGAACTTAATTTAAAACCGGCCAAATCGGGTCAAATCAAGCCGGTTTGATTGGGTCTTATCCTTTTGTGAACAGCCCTAACCTTTACAAGTTATTCAGATCGCTAATCAACTTGGCATTGAGAATCTTCAAATTGAAGGAGACTGAAAGACTCAAGATTGTTGTGGGTTGGTTAACAAATCCGAACTCAATCATTTGGTGCTACAAGAACCTCTCAAAAAAGGCCAGCTGGTTATTAAGAAATATGAATGTTAGCGTACATTGGGTTGGCAGGTCTGCAAATGCTATGGCAAATTATCTTGCTAAATAAGGGGTTTTGAGGGAACATTTGTACTGGGCTACCTTGTAATCTTTATCTTTAGTGTTATGTGGTCTTCACAATTTTAAGGGATGTCGTACCTCACGCCTCTCAGTAGGATGCTTGTAACAGTTCTCATCCTTTCTTAATAAAAATCCTCTTCAATTATCAAAAAAAAAAAAAAACAAGGACTCAAGAAATGGATCTACAATTTGCACATAATACACTTCAATTTCTTCAAATAATGGCACAGAATTTGGCAGAAATGGAAGGGTTATTAAGTGCTTTGAGATGATTCCAAGACAAAAGTTCACTTGGCAAAAAGCAGATTGGTGAGAAGCAACATATCAGTAGAAACTTATGAAATAATCTCAGACATTTTTCTTATTTCCCAAGCAAAATGTGCTGAATCATTGTGAGAAAATCATGTGAGATGTGATGTGACACAAACTGATGTCAATAATTGACAAATTAGCCCCCTAATACTATCTGCTTCCATTTACAACATTTCATCAGCACACCCATGTTTAAAGTGTGCATGTTGGCAAGTACTTATGAAAAACATCACCAATCTCCACACAGAAACACAAATTGTGCATATGCAGACTGCAGTGTTCAATGACAGACAAGAAAGAAAGAAGCTTTGGAGCTTTTTCGGACTATGTCAAAGAAAAGGTACGGGAAAATATTAGTATGCCATTAAATTAGAACATAATTTTCTCAGCACATTGGTCAACAATGAAACCCCGGCAGCACATTATATATTAACAGCATGGTTCTTCTATAATTTTAAGTTACAATAGTTATCTCCCCAGTAATCTAGTAATCGAGGAATTCCTCTTCTATCAATGCTTTTTCCAATTAAAATTTGCGATTGGTCATGTAAATGCAGTAACAAGAGAATCGAAAAAATAAATTGAAAGTAACAACATAAGCGAGGGGATATCACCAGACACCTCGTGACGTGCTTCAGTCTTAGCCCTGGGAGGAGAGCGAGAACTATGTCTGTTCCTGCGTCCACGATCACTCGGCGAGGTTGACCGCTCACGTTTTGACCTAGAAGAACCTCCTCCATTAACTTTATCCCTTGTTGACCTTCTCTCACTTCTACCGCTGGGAACTTCTCTGTCTACACTCCTATCCTTATGCCTCACATTGTCACTATCCCTACTGCTCCCATTCCTCTCGCGTTCCCTTTCAGAGACTCTTTCCTCCTCTCGCTGGGCTTGTTCTCGCCTTAGACGTTTCGTACGCGGTGAAGGAGAACCCGAAACGGGTGAAGTCGACCGCGCATTTTTCGGGGACCTATCTCGAGATGAAAGCTTCTCTCTTGCGGGCGACCTCGCTTTGTGGGATGAATTGGTTCTACCAACAGGAGACCTGGTTTTCGGAGAACTCCTTTGTCGAGCAGGGGACCTTTCTCTACGAGATGGACTCCTCCTACGAGGAGAACCCCGTCCCCTCACTGGAGACTCCGAACGCTCCGATGAACCACGCCGAGATGGCGATCTCCGATTCACTGCTGGACTCATCCGAACAAGAGCAATGGTAAAGTTCAAGCTCCCAGTGTGTGTATTTCTGTAGGTACTGAAGTGGATTTACCTTCTGTTCTGTTCTTTACGACCATGCGCCGTATGGGCCCGACAGTTATCGAGCCCCGTCCACCATGTCCTGGGCTTGGGATGTGTTTTTACTTTTTAGGACGTGGATCGAGAACCTGTGTAGTTTGTTAGCCCAATTCCATTGGACCATGATAGGCCCGCTATTACTTATTTACTACCGGGACCCGTGCGATGTACGGATTTTGTCAAGCGAAAGTGAAACAATGAAACATAGAAGARTAAAAAAATTTTGTATGTTTTCCATCGTGACATTACAAATTGATAACACCATAGGACAAGATAATAATTTCTACTAATTTATGATAATATTTTGTATTTATTGTTATTTTTCTACTACTTATATTACTTTTTGGTAATTATTGATTTGATAATTTGTTTATTTAATTTAAATAATAATTTATGTAGATAATCTAATTTATTGGATTTAAATTATTTCAGTATTTTTCAATAATTTAACGAATTAATTAATTTCAGTAATATCAGTAATTTAATTAAAATAATTACAGTAATTTCAATAGTTAAAATAATTTCAACAATATCAATAATTACAATAATTAAAACAATTTCAGTATTTTCAATAATTTAATTAAACAATTTCAATAATTTAATTATTTCAGTAATATCAAAAAGTAATTATTTTAATTAAATACAAAATTTAAAATATGGGCCATTTGCTAGTTATTATTGAAACCCCGGTGCAGTTAGACAGTAGTAGTTTTGGCCCATTGAGACCCCAACCTTATGGGGTGTAAACAAACTGAAAACAAAGGTTTTCTCATAAGAGGAATACCTGAGATAAATAGACACAACTTCCAAATCAAAGTAAATAGAGTGGGATGGATCTTTCAATTTTTTCTTCTCTTCATTTCAAAAGTAAATAAACCCAATAAACTATCTACAATTTAAAAAAATACACACACACATACAATGAGATGGAAACAAAAAAGCATCACCTTTCAAAAGTTGAAAAGAAAATTAAAGAAAAATCTTTGAATGTGGTTGTCACGGTTCAGCGCTCCACTAAAACTCAAATGGATAAATTCACAGTTATGTCCTCATTTGAATGAATCTCTAAAACTCAAATCAAACTGTCCACTAGAACTCAAATTACTATGAATGAGATGAATCTCCAATATTCAAAACGATAAACTATTTGGGGTGAGGTGAGACATGAAAAACTCAAATCAAACTCCCCTCTGAAACTCAAATTATTGTGGTTGAGATGAGTCTTATAAACTTAAATCGATAAACTCTTTGGTGAGGTGAGATGAGTGTCTAACTACCTTAAGACTCGTACTGGCTACCACAATACTTTACTTGGCTAATAATGCATGTAAATGGCGGGACGTGGGAGTTCAAATCCGCGCCCCACCGCCGGGCACCTCACAAATGCCCCACACGATGAGAATGTGCCACATGTCCAAGCGCATCATTTCACTACTCTTCCCGTGTGCAAGGCTAAGGAACAGTCGTTAATTTGTCCCATTAGCCCCAAAACGAGCTCAAAACCCATTTTTACTATTCTTGCTCCCGCCCTCAACCTCAAAAAGGTGAGTTCATGTCTAAGAACCCCCGTTCCATCCGAGCTTGGATCCAACGCTCTCCCATATTTTTCACACTCTTTTTTTAGGGTTTGATCTTATCTAATATTTTCTTTTTTTTATTTCAACACATATGAGGGGAGTTTTTTCATCCACCACCGGCAATAGTAAACAGGTGGTGTATTTTTTTAGAAAATATGTTTATTTATTTATTTATCTATTTATTGCATAATTATAAAAACACTATCATGTGTAAATTGAATCATCTTGGATTGGACCATATCAAAACCAACAACTGAAAAAGGTGGGAATGTCTTAGGCTAGCATGTTCAGTATTTTATCAGTCAGGTGATCCATTACTTTTACATCCTAAAATTCCTTAATAATTTTCTCATTCTTACTCTTACTTATTTTCCATGGAGCCGTACACAACATGAAGGAATTATTTAATTGATTGAACTGCATTTAACTTTTTTATTATGCTATGGCGATGAAAATTCCTTATTTGGTTTGGAGGTTTTGGCTACGGCTATGAATTGCATCCCGCTTTGTAAGCGAAATCATTATATATACTAAAAAAAAATGATAAAAGTAGAAAGGGTGAATGGTGTAGCGAGTGGTTGAATAGTGGGAAGAGGACTACTATTTTGTAAACCTAATTTAATTTGTTTTGCTGTATGTTTTGAAGAGGACTTTGGTACAGATACACAAAGCTGAATATGAATGTGTATAATCATTTTCTAAACAGTGGTATATATTTTTTGCACTTTGTCCACTAGAAAATACGGAATATGAATGCTTTACCGATGCATAATCATTTTCTGATAGGTTCAAGAAGTATTGGATGAGATTGGTCATCCCGGAATTCCTCTGAAACTTATATCAAAACCTGCTGATAGTAGTCCTGTTTCCATGTAAATGAACATTCAGATTGCTTCCCGTCTTTATAGTGATTGATTGGATACTCCAATCACAATAGCATGTACCTAAATGATCATAAACCAAACGTAGAAAATCAAAGCCATAGATGAGGGTATCAACCGTCTTTGTATTGCTAGCACATGATCATCAACATAAATGATCATCAACCATCTTTATAGTGATTGATTTAGATACTAAAAAAGATAAGTTGTGATTTTAGTATTGCTAGCATATGGATAACTACTTTAGCATCCATAAATACAACAGTTATCATTATACTCGGGAGCTATTAGTTCTTGTACCTAAACAATAGTCATTAGTTCTTTCACCTAAATACTAAGTCTTGTACATGTACAAGATAATAATAAACACAATTACAAAACTAATAAACACAATCTTCAAAGTCTTCAGTCCTTCGGTAAATAACTGTTGTAAAGCCTTTAGAGCATCCAACCCTTCAACAACTAATTTCTCTAGCTTTTCAATATGGCTTTTTAGATTCATTACATTGTTCAGGCTGAGGTGGCTTCATCTAAATAAATTATAGGAATTGCTCATTCAAAAAAGTTGCTAAAACTTTAAATTGGAGTACTTGATATTGGAATAAGTTTCCTCTTCGATATCATTTGCCTACATACATGCAAATACAAGTCAATGCATTTAATATAATCAGACTTGTCATCACAAACACACAATGAAAACATAGTAGTACTTACGAGTTTRCTAAGACAGGTGTAAAATAACCTTTGAGGATTAGTAGATGTCTCTGACATGCGAAATATACATTTTTTCCACACTTGCAGTATTTTGCATTATACTTTAGGTTATTATGAAGCCTAATTTCATATGTGGATTGAGAACTCATTCATGTATTAGTATATGAAACTCAATTATTTACTTTATTCCATCCATTTTATACTTTATTATATTTTTATAATTCAATTCAAATTCAACAGTAACACAGTTTTGATAATTTAATAATTTGGGGGATATATTATATATATTCACGTACATAAATGCATTCCCCCTACTCCTCAAGTCCTATCCTATTCTTATCTATCTACCTACAGAGTTTGGCCTTTGGGTGGTGGTCAACCAGCAACCTCAAACTGCATCCCTCCTAGTCCTAGCTCACATAAAAAGGGAAAATCCACGCAATACCACTAACCTTGCCTACTTTAAATCCATCTTTCTCTCCTACTAGTCTCAACTGAAATGAAAATCTATCATTTCCTATATTGCCCCTGTGGTTGTCTTTCCTTTTGCCTTTTTTTTCCTTGTTTCTCTCATATGGCTTTCTTCTTTGTCTTTTCCAAATTGCAACCCACCATCTGGCATCTGGGTTTCTTGAATATAATTAATTGTCCATTCCTAATCCTAACACACTTCTACACACATATAAAGTTGCTTTGAGAAATCAAAAGAATAATCCAAAACAGATTGTTCAAAACAATATAATTAAGCCTTCTTGTATGTACAATACTCTTTTGAGTTTTTCTCAAGGTTTGTGTTTTTCTTCCTCTTTATTACGATACCTCTCMTTTTTGCTTCTTGTCATCTAGTTGATGAGTGATGTAACTGTTTTTGGTCACGTACCAATTTTTTGTGATGTACCAATTTTTTCTTTGGCTAAGTACTTTGTCATTTGACCTGCTCCCAGGTGGCCTATGACTCAAAGGATGATGGAGCTCTCTGGTGGCAAACTGCCTAGTGGTGAGCTACTTGTTGGCGAACTCCCTGGTGGTGAGCTACTTGGTGACGAGCTCCCTGGTGGTGAGCTACTTGGTGACAAGCTCCCTGGTGGTGAGCTACTTGGTGACGAGCTCCCTGGTGGTGAGCTACCTGGGTGACGAGCTCCCTAGTGGTGAGCTACTTGGTGACGAGCTCCCTGGTGG